TCCTCTTCCTCTTCCTCTTCCTCTTCCTCTTCCTCTTCCTCTTCCTCTTCCTCTTTCCTCTTCCTCTTCCTCTTCCTCTTCCTCTTCCTCTTCCTCTTCCTCTTCCTCTTCCTCTTCTTCTTCTTCTTCTTCTTTCGGTCAAAAAAATAATCTTCTTTTCAGCTTTCGGTCAAAAAAAAAAACTTCTTCTTCAGTTTTATATAGAGTGATATTAGGTATCACATAAGCCGTCTAACAATTGTGCGGGAGAACTTTCTCTCTCATATGAAATGATTTTAGATATTATCCTTCATTCTTTAATTCTTGCAACAATTTGACTTTCACGTTTGCCAACGCACAACTTTGACTGTAACTATATTTAATGATGTATTAGTAAACATTATAAAAAGTTGATATTTTGGAAATTCACATTGATAGAAATTCAATAACATTTGATACGTAATAATTTGATTATGTATATTAGTAGAAAACCGTGGTCAAAGCAAGGTCTGTAAATAGTGTAAAAATCACAATGTTGCAAGAATTAAAGAACGGAGGAAGTATTAGAAAATAAGCGTTCTAGCAATTGAACGGAAGAATATTCCCTCTCATGTGTAGTTTTTTAAGTATAAGGGGCATCCACATCCATTAGATTATTCAAGGTTTAATTGGATGATGTGGAAGATTATTTGAAAGATTATCATTGTGAGTGAGAGATTATTTAAAAGAAAATCTGGTATCAAGATTTGGATCTCAAGTTATTTTAGATTGTACTACCTCCGTCCCTTTTTATTTAGCCATCTTTGACTTTTCCAGTCAAAGGTGATAAACTTTGATCCATTATTTCAACCAATATATTTATGTAAAACTTAATAAATTTATACTTTTATGATAGTATTTTTAACAAAGAACATTTTCATATAATTTTCACATTATCAATATTATCGTGTATTAATATATAATTGGTCAAAGTTGAAGAACTTTGACTTGGAAAAAGGTGTTTGGCTAAATAAAAAGGGACGGAGGGAGTAGTTAAATTGCATTTAATGCATGGTCTAGAAAAAACTAATTATTTGAGTATCATGGTTGATGAAGATTTTTAAGATTTGAGATTTTTTTTTTCAATAAGTGTGATGTGGCAATGATGTATAATAGAAAAACCATTTATTTTAAGATCGTGAATGGAGATGCTCTAGGATAAGTCGGCTAACAAGTGAGGAGACGTACTGTCTCTCTCATATGTAAGAGTTTTAGGTATAAAATGATAAGCTTGATAATAATCGATGAGAACTTTTCTCTCATATGTAGTTTTCTTTTAGTATAAGATAGTCTAGCTAGCAATTGATCGGGAAATTTTTTCTCTCATATGTACTGCTTTTAGTATAACATAAGCCGGCTAACAAACGGACAGAATAATTTCTCTCTCTCATATGTAGTGTTTTTAGATATAACAACATAAATTTGCTAATAATTGATTGGGAAAAGTTTCTCTCACATATATATGTAGTCTTTTATGTGTTAGAATATAAATTTGGTAACAATTGAGCAAAGAAATTCTCATATAAGTAGTTTTTTAAGTATAAGATAAGCCGCCTAACAATTAAGCAATAGAATTTTGTCTCTCATACATAGTGTTTTTAGGGATAAGTTAATCCGGCTATTGAAAATTTTCTCATATTATATGTAGTTTTTTGTTGTCTAAGACTAGCTAAAAATTGAGCGGGAATTTTCTCTCTCCCATATGTAGTGCTTTTAGATACTCTCTCCGTCCCTAATAACTTTGCCAAGTTTGACCGGCACGGGGATTAATAAAGTAAAAACGTACTGTGTGGTTGAGGTTTGTGCAGAGGGAGAATTAATTAGAACCACAAATTCTTTACTTAAAATGGAAAGTGACAAAGTTAACGGGACATTCAAAAAAGGTAAGTTGGCAAAGTTATAAGGGACGGAGAGAGTATAACATAAGTCGGCTAACAATTTAAAGTGATACTTTTCTCTCTCATATGCAATGTTTCTAGATATAACAAGATAAGTTTTCTAATCATTACACGGGAAAATTTTGTCTCTTATATGTAGTCTCTTATGTATTAGAATATAAACATGTTAACAATTGAGCTGAGAAATTATCATATAATTAGTTCTTTTAAATAAAGATAAGGAGACTAACAATTAAGCAGTAGAGTTTGGTCTCTCATATGTAGTGTTTTTAGGTATAAGTTAATCCGACTAACATTTGAGTGGAAAATTTTCTCTCATATATAGTTCTTTTTTGTATAAAACTAGCTAGCAATTGAGCGGATTTTTTTTTGCTTCCATATATGTGTTTTTACGTATAACATAAGCCGGCTAACAATTGAACGAAAATTTTCTCTCTCTCATATGTAGTGACTTTAGATATAACAAGATAAGTTTGCTAATAATTGAGCGGCAAATTCATCTCTTATATGTAGTTTTTTTTATGTATTAGAAGATAAAGTTGCTAACAATTGAGCGGGAAAATTCTCATATAAGTAGTTCTTTTAAGTATAAGACAAGTCGGCTAACAATTAAGCAATAGAGTTTTGTCTCTCATACGTAATGCTTTTATAAGTTAATCCAGCAAACAATTGAGTGAAAAAAAATTCTATCATATGTAGTTCTTTTTGTATAAGATACACTGCTGACTAAGAATCGAACAATATAATTTTCTTTCTCATATGCTAGCACTAATTTAACTAATGAGTTGCAAGTTATTATTTAGCTGATACGTAGTATTCGTTAATTTCAATATTTATTGTATTCACTTTTTTAGAATAGTATTTAATTTTAAAATTAATTTAATCATGAAAATTAATAAGTACAAACTCTAATGAGTGGTGCTAATTAATTTTTTCTAATATACTTTTCATTGAATATTTATTGTATGGGCTTATGCTTTATATTATTAGCTTATTGTATTCTTATCTTTCGAAAATTTAGAATCCTTCAAAGTTATTTTATTTTAATATTTAATTATATAATAAGTGAAAATATATATATGCACCGACCGTTTTTCCCGTGCATGGGGACTATACTAGTTTTTCCCTAAACTAAACGACATCATATGATGTAGGTTTTTAGGATCTTCGCCTTCGAGCTTTCTTCCCCCAGATAATCACAAAGCCCAAAGGCGTTTAATTTAGGCGACCTGAAAAGCAGATAATCACCGAGCTTAAGAGAATCCCTTTACCATATGAAGAAGAAACTGGTTGTCGTTAGCTACGCGGCTTGCGCCTCCATTCTCGGAGATTATATGTCTGCGTCTATATTAGATCTAGAAGGTCGTCCAGATTCGGGTGATTCAAACGGTAATCCTCTTCGTCGTGTCCCTCTTATTCAAATCGCCGGTATCGATGATATGGACCAGGAGTGGGGGTATTGCGTTTTAGATTCCATCCTCTATATGAGTGGAGAAAAGAAGTCCGTATATAAAGTAGATCTATCAAAACTGTCTACCTGCACGAGTGAAACTGGTAATTACAGGGCAGAGAAGATGCACGCTGAAATGCTAAGCGAGAAAAAAAGTCCTGTTGCTACGGCAATCTCAATGCCTGACGGCAGTGAAAGAGTTCTGGTCTTTTCAACCCGCGACCTTTGTGCGGACCCTTCTATTAGAAAGACTACTGATTTTGAAATTTATGATCCAAACTCTGGAATTTGGGTTGGCCTCCCAGGAAGCGACATATGGGGGGATGATGCGGCTGTTTGGTTTGATATCGTAGCATTCACTGTTCCCAAGAACAAGTCTCTCTTGCTCATCCAAACCTACTCTGATGACTCTTCAATCTATGCCCTTGATTTCCTGTCCCCCCATGTAGGCTGGCAAAAACGGGAAACCTACTTAGGTGTTAAAAGTATTCCATTTGATAATTCGCCACACTCTCTCTTTGTGGATGATGAAATATGTTTGACTGGTTATGGTGCATATGATATTTTGGAAAAGGCTCCTGGCACAGGCTTGTCTCATGTCATGCTCTATCGCAGGATGGGTACCTATGGTAAAAACCCTAGTAGATTTTTCTCTTTTCCACAACAACAACTGCTGGAACATTCACCTGAGTGGTGTTTTTATAAATCAATATCACCTCTTGTAACCCTACTTGGCTATGATTCCAATAGTGGAGATTGCGAGTTCTGTGTTGTTCATCTGGGGCTAAATAGATTTGACAGTTCAGCTTGGATACAACAATTTGTTTACAAGTTTAATCTGAAGGAGTACAGAGCAGAGAAGAGGGAGAAGAAGGGGGCGGGAGGAGAAGCTGCCAAGCTCCGTATACACATTCTCAAGCATTCTTCATTTCAGGCAGTCCGTGCCCCGTGCATCTATTTCGATGCATGTTATCTGAATTCCTTTTAGCTCGGCCTGATGCACGCCTTTAGTGGTGATCTAACCACAGGGGAGTTCCTGGCCCGGCGGCCTGCGTCAGGAGTCACAATACTTTATACATGCATATCTCACCACATCCCAGTTATGGCATCACTGTCTTGGTCATCCCTCTCCCCATATCCATTGGGCCTGGCAAACATATTTCTTCCTCGTGCAATTCATGTCTACAGGCCATTAGACATAAGTTATCTTTAAAGCTATTCTTACACATTTTTTGTACACACACTTACACACTCCTGTAAGTGTGTATACAGACACAACACATTTGAAGTGTCCGTGAAATAAGTTGTGTCTGTATACAGACAAAATAAAACACTTCACAGACACGAGTGTGTAAGTGTGTGTACAAAAATGTGTACCTCAAGTTTGGTCGTTTTCTTATTCCTCAATAAGTTGTGGATGTACACATTCATTTTAGTATTTGCACACTATGTTTGGGGCCCATCCCCTGCCACTTAAATTAATAATGGATGTTTTTATGCTTGTTGATTACTAAAAAAAATGATGTAGGTTTTTATGTAAATTTACATGTTTTTATTATTTAAAAAAGAAACGCGGTAGTTTGCTAAAATGGGTTTTAAAAGACGGTATTTTGATAAAAATTCCCTCTGATGGCTCTTTTATTTTGCATTCTTGGTTGCATCACGTTGGGGTTCCTACAGAGGTGGCGAAGGACTTCGTTCACAAATCTCAAGTAAACTTCACTTTAATTACGACATCAGGGTTGGTTGGTATGGTAGCTGTTTCTATTCTTACGAACAGTTCTTTAAGTTGATTTTTCGGAACAATGATTAGCATTTTCTGTTGCTATTTCTTACTCCTACCGTTTATAGATGTCCTGAATACATTTTGATTGCTGTCTACCATCAATGCCCACATGATGGGATGACATAACAAAAAATATGCTGTAGAATTTCCCAGTTTATTCATTGATCTGTGAGTTCAGGTTCTGTTATTTTTCAGAAAGTAATCATTATCGCATAAGAAATATATTCAAGTTTTGAACTTTGCTTTTTTAGCTTCTTGTTTGGTTGTGAAAACTTCTTTCCAGTTAGTTATTTAACTTTTTATCAGTCTTATACTCGGGTGCAAGAAAGAGTGTAGCTAGGGGCGTTCACACGGATACGAGATGCCAATAAAACATATGAAGTCCTGTGACAAAGGCAAAACAACAACCAACGGTGGCGGAAATCTCAATTGATATTTATTAGAAAATGTATTTCGTATTGTTATTTTTTCTCAATTCTCAAATGTAGTTCCTATTTCAAATAAATGCACTTGAACTTTGTTTTTAATAGGAATTTGTATAATATATAATTATTTAAAAAAAAATTGAACCGGCCCGGCCCGGCGGGTGGCCCGAACCGTGACCCGGCCGGGTGGCCCGAACCGGAACCGGCCATAGCTCGGGCCGGTCCCGGGCCAACCTATACCAGACCCAAGGCCCGACCGGGCCTTGGCCCGGCCCGGGTCCATCACTATCATGAACCAGATGGCACATTCTTTTGGAGTGTGAAACAAGTTGAAGTGAAGACAGAACCTGAAGTATTTCCTAATGCAGCTACCTAGAGGAGAGCCATAAAAAATTCTTGGGGAAAACTGTCAAATAAGACCCTTTACTTTTCAAAAAAATCAATTAAACCCCTCTACCTAAAATTCATTCAATCAAACCCTCAAACTTATTAAAAAATGACAAATCACTCTTTTTTACCGGTAATGCACCGAGTTACCGGCTACTGTATACATGGCAGTCTTTTAGTTTTCGTATTTCCTTTTTTCTTTTTCTTTTCTTTTTCTTTTGCTTTTGCTTCCTTGGGATCTCCCCCCTTCTCGCATACCAGGTGGATGCACCACAGACCAGATGCGTAACTAGCCATGGATGCACCACCGTGGCTGAGCAGATGGATGCACCACCGTATCTGACCCACGGAAGTTCTCATCAACGACGCTATTTCGCTGGCCCATCCCCGGTGACGCGCTCCCCCCTCCAAGTTGTCAAGCAACGCCTTCGCAGATACATTTCGGAGCCCCGAAAAATCGTCGGTTGCCATCAATGTTGGAATCTCGAATTGAAGACGGGTCTCCAAGCTTCAACTATCGGAATTTAAGATGGGAAACCCAAGTTAAATCCAGGGTTAAAAATCATCTAAATTGATTATATGCTTGCGTTGGGGAAGTTCTGGGCGATTTATCTCCCCCGGGATATGACCCGTACTAAAAGTGTTTTGACAAAAAGAAACAAAATCATCTACAATTATATCCCAATCATATAGCAATAATATTTGGTATGAGTAAACTAGACTTAATGAATAAGATTCTCAAGAAATTTTATTAAAAAAATTCACCGGAAACCGTCACAAATAGCGTCGGCCGGACAGAACTCCTGTATAAGGCCAACCTTTTAAGTTCGAAGCTATGTTTGAAAAACCGACCCGACCCGGCCGGGTTGACCCGGAACCCGGTGACCCGGACAAAAAACTGGTTCGGTTTTTTCAAAAACCGGAAATGGTCAAAAACCGGAAAAACTCGGCTGACCCGGGAAAACCTGGTCAAGACCCAGACCCAAGAAACCCGAAAAACCGGTAAAACCCAGTTTTTGGGTGTTTTTACCAAAAAAAAAAAGTAATTTCTTTTTTATTTTTAATGCATTTTTATACCAATAAAATTGCAATTTCAATACCTTAAAAAGAAAAACTACGTAATATATTTATATATTTATTTAAGAATGAACATCATGCCAAATTATAATATAGATGTACAATAAAAATAAAAATATCATTATATATTTTTATAAGATCAAAATATACATTGAAATATTATGAGAGTGTATTAAATGCTTAATAAGTAGTATTGTTAGTTGATTAATATGAATAATAACTAATTTTTATTATAATTTTATATATAATTATATGTTTACTATTATTATATAGACGTATAATCATTGACCGGTTTTCCGCCGTTGACCGGGTTGACCCACCGGGTCCGGGTTGACCCGTGACCCAGTCATGTGGCCGGGTCACTTTCCGGTCCGGTTTTTACAACATAGGTTCGAAGTTGGAGGCCTATTGGACCTTTTTCCGATTAAAATTTCAATTTTCAAACGCTACAGGGTAACTGGGTGAATCCATGGTTAGTTTTTTGGAGAGGCGTACCAGTGCTATTTCGAAGGCCACACAATTATCTGCTGCCTTTTTTATTCGCATTCTTGTATCCATTGTATCACGTTAGCGGTTCGTACAGAGGTTGCGAAGATCTTCGTTCTCAAGTAAACTTCACTATAATTACGACATCAGGGTTGGTTGGTGACTTGGTGTGTTGCTGTTTCTATTCTTGTGTGTTATCGGGAACAATGATTAGCATTTTCTGTTGCTAATTCTTACTCTTGCTAGGCTGCTACCGTAAGAAATATTTCCAAGTTTCAAACTTTGCTTCTTCTTTTTGCCTCTTGTTTGGTTTTGAAAACTTCTTTCCAGTCAGTTGTATAACTTTTTATCAGTCTTAGACACTAAAGAATTTAAAGCTGAATTATATGTGCAGTTTGGGGGATAAACATCATGTTACATGTTTAACTGCTTGGTGTGAATTGCATGTGGTAATGACAACTGTATAGTTGTTTACGTAAAACTTTCTTGATACTTCAGGTACTGGAGATTAGTACTTTTATGTTTGAAGTGAAGTAAGAAGTGCAATTGCACTATTTCAGAGAATGCCTCTGAAAAAGAAATACAGTGGCACTCCAGTGAGAAGTAATTATCATCAAGATATCATCAGCAACCTCCCCCAGAACCTAAGGGAAACCATCTTAACTTACCTGCCACTTCAAGATGCTGTAAGGACGAGCGTGCTATCAAGTGAGTGGAGGTACACATGGACTAAAGTTCCACGTCTTTGTTTTGATGAGACGATCTGTCCGGGATCAAGTGGGGGTGACCAATGGGAGTTTCAAAATAAATATGTTACGCGCATACTCCATGTTTTGCTGCAACATGAAGGTCCTATAACCACGTTTGAGCTTGCAATTCCTGAGATGGAAATCTTCCCTGAGATGGACAGTTTGATGTTGTTCTTGTCCAAAAGTGATGTTGAGAGTCTCGCACTTATGTTTAAATCTGGCCATTACAAACTTCCTTCAACATTTTTCAAGTGTCAGAGATTAAAATCTTTGTACCTTATGTCCTGTTTGGTTCATCCACCTTCTGACTTCATTGGATTTAGTCAGCTTCTCACCATTGACATGTTCGATGTAGACATTGGTTCAAAACCACTTGAAAGCATCATTGCTTGTTGCCCCCTACTTGAATGCTTGAAGCTAGATATGTCATCCATATATGCAGGGCCGGCCCAGAGGGAGTCTAGAGTGTGCGACCGCACAGGGCCCAAAAAATTGGAGGGCCTAAAATAAATTTTTTAGTAGTAGTACTACTACTACTTTACTGCTCCCTAATAGAATACAAATTATGAACTTGAAATCTAACACAAATTATCAATATTTATGTCACATAAGAAGACCCAAATTTTGTCATTGTACAGGGCCTTCGTTTTCTCAGGACCGGCCCTGCATATATGAATCCCTTGAGATTCAGGCTCCTAGACTTCATTACTTTAAATTTAGAAGTAAAGTGAAATGCGTTTATTTCAAGAACACCCCACTTCTCAAGAAGGTTGTAATTTTTAACGATTCACATATTCAAACAGAGGAAGAAAGTGCTTTACAAATGGAGTCTAATCTTATTGAGCTTTTTAGATCTCTGCCAGCGCTTAGAGTTCTACATTTTGACAATCACTTCATTCAGGTATGAGTGATTAGACATTTATTTTTTATAGAAGTACTGGAAGTGTGATATGGTGCATTTGCGCTTATTGGTTTGTGTTGGGCACTTGGGCCATTAGAATGAGAATATGTCCAACTGACGTTAAGTGTTTCTGATAGTGTCAAGATGGCTATTTTTTGCTAATAATTTTCCCCATTTGGATCATATGTGGCATGACTGGATGTGGTAACTATTATTGTTAATACTTGATGCACTACCAGTTCCACTGTTACAACCACAAAAACATGCCAGCCACCAGCAACAACAGTTGCTGGCAATTGCCAGTCACCAACCACAAGTTATTTTCATTCTTATATATAGTTGAATCAAATTGTGACGAAAGTCTATTGCCTCCATTGTGCCAGTTGCCATTGTCAGTCACTGTTTTTTGGCATATTTATGCATCTAAATTTAACTCTGGGAGAAAATTAACAATTACGTTAAGAAATTATTCTGTATTAAAACTTTCAAGTACAACACTAATAATCTATTTTTATTAGTTTAGTAATTTGTATACATCATATCTTTTTGCCCAAAGTTAGTAAACTGTATAATATAAAGTTTTACATCATCGTAGATAAAGATTTTTTATACATCAATGCGTATAAAATTTATATGCATTAATGAATAAAAAATAGTCATCTATGACAACCTCGAAGTTAATACATCTTCGTCTAGGATTGATTTATCAATACATTGGTATTCAAAAATAACAATTTTAAAAACCTGTGGCAAGTGACAGGCAGTGGACAACTGCAGTTCCTCCGATTGCTACTATGGAAACGGTTGTGCATGAGTGATAACGTTCACTATACTAGTGCCACATTAGATTCAAATAGCAAAAAGATCATGTCAGCAAAAAGTACAAACGTGCCCTACCACAAAGTACCTTTGTATACTCTTAATTTTACGTCAAACTAACATGTTATATGAGTTTTGGAGACTGATACAGAACTGTGCTTTCTTTGCAAAAATTGAAGTTCTTAGCTGCAAGTGGAGTCCTAAAAAGACCTAGTCTAACTGCTGTGCACCTTAATTCTCTTAAACTTCGGAGAATATGTTTAGAAAAAATGAGGGAGATGTCGTGTGTACTATTCATTGTTAGAATATCACCAAACTTGGAAGACATCATCATTCGAGTGAGTTGTCTTTCATATGTCTGCAGTTTGCTTATATTTATTATGTTGTTAAATTCATTCTGGTATTCACATTTGGTTGGCTTCTTATATGTGCTAATAATCATTTATCCATCTTTTAGCTATTTAATTCTACTGGTGCTGCTGACCTAAATCCTTCTCTCGAGTCACTGGATGTTGAAGAATACTCAGATGTGAAACTAGATCAGCCGAGGAGGGTGAAGTTGGAAGGTTTTACTGGTACAAGGAACCAAATGGCACTTGCAAAGCTTCTTTTAACTAAATCTCCAGGGCTTATGAAAATGATAATCAAACCCAATGCCGAAGGATGCGATGAAAGACAAGGGTTTCTGATATTAAAAGAGCTTATACGACTGCAGCGACCATCAACAGTTGCAGAGATTATCTATGGATAGGTGAGGCAATAGTCTTTATTTTCTTTCACTATGGATGCCACTGCTTGCATTTGTATGTGATCTTACATTTATTTTTGTGTGCATTGTTATTTGCAAGACTATAAAGTGCAAGCACTTTTCTATCATTTTAGAAGCACAACCACAAAACTACATGAGATGGTAAGTTATAAATTTCTAAAGAATTATTTTCTACTATTGTACACACTTTTATTATGCTCAAAACTCATTTTCGGTCAACGGCTCTCAATTGTTCTACTTTTGGAGCATGACTATGGTCTTCTCATATTCGGTTCTGCTGGATGATTTTTGCCTAAGTGACCAGAAATACCCAAAATGGTTAGAAATCTTCCATAGTCATGGGTGGAAAAGTGAAAGTTCACAACCAAAAATTGGGGCTGACCTAATAATCATATGCACCAAAGTGGAACACTTTTGCCGTTATTACCGAAACCAATTGTTGCATACCATGAATGTAAAGATCAATGAGCTATAATGAGGCAGGGATATTTATAACAATGTTTACTGCAAGTGATTGATAATTTGTGTGGGCGTTCACATGGTTGGTTAAACTGTGAATACTTTTAACATGCTGAAAGAAGATTAAGCCTTGTTATTCTTGTGTAAATTGATGATGTGTATGATAATATTTGGATGAACCCCTTTGCAGGTGTCAATATGACGAGTTCAGACTTCAGAGAATGTGCTAATGAAGAATGATTGATAACTTTGTATATTATAGTTATTTCTCAAAGCCAGCTGCATGTTATAATGTCTTTAAACCTTCTTTTGATATTTTCGAGTTGTATTTTGCTGATTTGGGTGAACTCAATTTAGTTAAACTCATTGTTCTAGCAAATTTATTAACTTTGACCTTTTAATTTAGGATACACACACGTGTGTGTGTACACACATGCATAAATACACACATGTATGTATATAAATACATGTGTGTATTTATATACACACATGTAGTTAAACTCATTGTTCTAGCACTCAAATAAATACATGTGTGTATTTATATACACTATGATTGTGAATAGTTTTTGGGCCAAATAACCGATTGTGCATATTGGGGCTATTTATGTGCAACCCTTCTATGGAGAAATCCATTGAGTTAGGTGACATGTTGGAAAATAGGGAACATATATACCTTATTTTAAAAAATAATAGAAAAACTAATACTACCTAAAAAGAAAGCTGCATGGATAAAAGCCCAGTTTGGCAGTTTCCTAAATTAAAAGGTCAAAGTTAATAAATTTGCTAGAACAATGAGTTTAACTAAATTTGCTAGAACAATGAGTTTAATTAATTAAACTCAAATTAATTAGGATACACAAATTTATTAACTTTGATGAAACTACATGCATAAATACACACATGTAGTTAAACTCATTGTTCTAGCAAATTTATTAACTTTGACCTTTTAATTTAGGATACAGACACATGCATAAATACACACATGTATTTAAGACTCACCCACTGAAAACTACTCCCTCCGTCCCCTTTTAAATGTCCCGTTTTACCATATTGGGATGTCCCTATTTAATTGTCTCATATCTTATTTGGTAAACTTTGTGTGGCTCAAAATCATTCTTACTTTATCAATTAATATCAACCACACAAACTCGCTTTTTTAAAAAACCGTGCCACCATCTCCCGTCCCATTTAAAAGGGGACGGAGGGAGTATATTTTAAAGAAGCGGTCATACATGAGAGACCCTATGCACTCTTCCTTTCTTTTCTTTTTTAATTTCCCGGATGCTCAAAAACTCAATCTGACAATATCACTTTGTATTATCCTTACTCACTTTTTCTATATGAGAATATTTCACTCTACCTAACTTAATCACATACACTTCACCAAATGATATCTTTGAGTCTTCTTCTCTCACAAGAATGCTCTTACTCTACTCTTTCAAGAAGACTATCACTTTCACTCACTCAAGAGTTGTCATCAAAGTTCTCATATAAAGCGGAAGCTTCTCTAGAATTTTTTTATACACCACTACACATCTAGATTCTTCCAAAAAGTATCCACTAGCTCCTCTTATCATTTGAAAGGATTTATCCACAATTCTTCAAAATGTTCTAGAGGTTTCCACACACTTCCACATGATTTTAGCGAGTTCCACACTTCTCTAGAAAACTACACATTATTATTATAGAACATTCAATACTTCTCCACACACATATATAGAATCTTGGACATCTCTAAAAATTCTAAAATTCTCATGAATTTCTTCACTAAGGAGGGAATCCAACATAGTCTCGAGAATGTTTTGATCTTTTTGTTACAAGAAATGTGACAACATATTCGTCAAACTCAACACTTTCTTGCTCACTGTAACCACGAAAAGCCAACTCGTATGTCATTAAATTTCTGAAGCAATCCACACTTGCATTCAAATGAATGTGGTATGTTGCAGCCAATACTTGTATTACAATAGACACATACATTTCCTGAAAGACTTTGCCTTTTATTTTAACACTTAAGCTAAAATTATCCTAATTGGTATTTATATTTGAAAAAAGGAGGGGTGTTAAATATACTATAACTTGTAGTACATTAACAATTTGCCCGAAGCGGGGCGCTTGCCCCTTCATGCCCCTCCCTAGCTCCTCCACTGATGATATGTATATGCATGTGTATAGCAAACATTTGCAAACTCGAAGATTTTTTTAAGGCTAAAGGGTCAAATAGGTACATGAACTAACCTAAAGTGTTCAATTAGCCCCTTATATAGGAGTTTCTGCCCGGACGTCGCCAATTGGGGCGGTTCCCGGTGGAATTTTTTGATGAATTTTTTTGAACATCTTCTTCATTAAGTCTAGTGTACCCAGACCAAATTTCAGCTAAAAATTCAATCGGGAAGGCAGTCGAATGATTTTATGAAAAATTAAACAGCGCAGTACATTTCGGAAAATAATTCGACCGCCTTCCCGGTTGAATTTTTAGCTGAAATTTGGTATGAGTAAACTAGACTTAATGAAGAAGATGATCAAAAAATTTCATCAAAAAATTCCACCGGGAACCGCCCCAATTGGCGACGTCCGGGCAGAAACTCCTTTATAAGGGGTTAATTGAACACTTTAAGTTAGTTCATGTACCTATTTGACCCTTTAGCCTTTTTTTAATAGGACACTCTCAAAGGGTGGAGGTGGGCTGATTCTAGTCTAGTACCTGACCAAAGTGACTAGGAATTTGTGAAATTGTGTGTCCAGTTTATAACTTCGCCTGTTGGCCAATGAAATTGTATATCCGGTTAGGGAGTAGGATGCAACTGTTCCATCTTTAAATGTGTGTCAGCATATATATGTAATCCAATTAAAGATTTAAATGTACTATTTTGCTCAACCTATATCTGTGGATAGCACGGAGCATAATACAAGAAATAATTATACTAATAGTAATACCAATAGTATTAGTAAATGCAAGACTGTAATTAAGTTTCTTGATTAATATAGCGTGAACTGTGAACATGAACTGGTCCAAAGTCTAGCAACTTCAACCTATTACTAAGGACAAACTATTACTCATCTGGGGCCGCTGGCAATTATAGGACGTGATCCGGGAGGAAAACTTGATTTGTGGAAAGTATTGGAATTGCTGATTGATAGAACATTGGCAGTAATCAAGTAAAACAACAATTTTATGGAAAATATATGAAGAACAGATTGAAAAGTGTTTGTTGAAATAGGGAGGACATCACAATAGGTATACAATGCAAATGGGAGTGTTCGAGAAGCCCACTCTCCAAGTCAACTCCTAACAGAATAACAACCTGCCTTAATTAGCTCACACCCTCCTATTTATAGTAATAACCCACGCAAGGGTACACTGACAGAACTAAATATTTAATTCATAATAGAGTCCTTAATTCTTCTCTTGTAGACTTTGTTAAAGTATTGAATAGGCTGCTGTTGCACCTTGTGCCTATCAATACTCCCTCCCTGAAAATTCACCTTGTCTCCAAGGTGAAAGTCTGGAAATTGTTCTGTCAGTGATTGCAGTGATTCCCAAGAATCCTCAAACCTTGGTATCAGCACTTCAATCTTCCCTTTGTTCACTTTGGAGTCTACAACTCCTTCAGGTATTATCTGTAATTCCCATTCTTCATTGAGGCATTTGGGTAGGGGCTGGAAATCAGTTGTAGATGATGAAGTGATATAGCCTTCTTCAGTAGTGAAATATGAAACACTGGATGCACTTTGCTCTCTTCTATCAACTTCTGCCTCCCCTTCAGCCCATTCTAAACTCCTTTTACCTTGAAAGACCTCATAGAAGGTACTGTTCCTTGCTCATCAGGGAGAGTTGCATAGATTTGGATTCCATTACAATCTCTTCTTCTCGAATTACCACTTCTGCATTTTCTGATTCCTCTTCTAAATCTTCTACAAGTATTAACTTGTAATTTAACAGTTTACACGTATGTTCCTTGCTCCATTTCTCACCACATTTGAAACAAAGTCCCTTTCTGCTCCTTTCCTGATATTCTTCTTGTAAGAGTTGTGGTCCCACCCTTTTCATATCAGAGGGATTTATTTCAGTTATTTTCTTCCCCATAGGATTAAAAAGTAGGATTGCTCTTAGTCTCAGTTGTACTCTTCCCAGTATTATTGGACCAAGAGTTTCCTAGTTTTGATTTAAATCCATCTACCCATATCAGAGATTTTGTAGTTGTAGGTCCCTTCTCCTTACATGATAACCTGTCCTCCTCCTTTCTTCTCAGATAAACAGCTTCATTTCTACTCTCAATCAATAGAGCTTTGTCCATAATTTCAACTAATGAATTGCAATTATGTAGTTTTAACTCAGCTTTTATCGCATCCTTCAAACCATGGGTAAATATCCCTCTCAGAATCCCCATGTCCACATTAATCTGAGGTGCTATGACCCTTTCAAACTTATCCCTGAATTCCTTCACTGTTTCAGTCTGTTTCAAGCTAAGCATCTGATGTTCCCACCAAATGTTCCAATTAATAGCCCCTTCCAAATGTTCCAATTAATAGCCCCTTCCAAATGTTCCACCTGTTCCTCTTCATTGATGTGATTCAGACGGAAATATCTCTTCATCCTCGCAATCCAATTATAAGCACCCTCTCCAGTAAAAACAGGTAAATCATTTTTTCTACCAGTTTGAGTTGTAAACCATTATTATCCTCTTATCCTGTGTGATTTTGGATGCGAGTGCGATTGGGATGACCTCCAAATGTCATCGGATTGTTTGATTGCACATGATGCCGATGTTGAGATCGCGATCTCTCCCTGGACCAAAGTTGCAAGTTCATTCATCACGGCCATGGATGCCGCCATGTTTGCCGCCAAATTTATCATTGCAGTACGGTGATCATTCATCAATGATTGTTAATCCTCCTGCACCTCCAACAATTTTCGCCCCTGCACTTCCCGCATCTCCATCAGATTTCGCTCCAGAATATCCATGCAAATCTCCATTTTTGCCTTCATTCTGACCATTCACCACTGAAACCAGAGTTTTGCTGAAGTCACCACTCAATTCCGATCACCAGGAGCGAGTGCTCTGGTACCAATGATAAAACACTGGCGGTAATCAAGTATAACAACTGGGATTGTTTTATAACACAATAGGTATACAATGTAAATGGGATTGTTCGAGAAGCCCACTCTCCAAGCCAACTCCTAGAATAACAGCCTACCTTAATTAGTTAATTAGCTCACACCCTCCTATTTATAGTAATAACCCACGCAGGGGTAAACTAACAGAACTAAATATTTAATTCATAATAGACTCCTTATTTCTCCTCTTGTAGACTTTGTTAAAGTATTGAATAGGCTGCTGCTGCACCTTATGCCTATCACTGCTGCTACCTTTGATCGGTGAAGAAGCCATCATTCTTCTCTTCTTCTTGTCAACAGCGCTCTCACACTGTGTTCCTCTCAAAGCAGCCATTAATTGATTGGCTCTGGAGCCAGGCATTATCTTCCTAACTTGCAAAGCGGACTCCTTTCTCTTCTTATCCGTCTCTAGGTTCTGCTGCACCTTATGCCTATCACTGCTGCTACCTTTGATCGGTGAAGAAGCCATCATTCTTCTCTTCTTCTTGTCAACAGCGCTCTCACTCTGTGTTCCTCTCAAAGCAGCCATTATTTGATAGGCTCTTGAGCCATGCATTCTCTTCCTAACTGGCAAAGCTGCCTCCTTTCTCTTCTTATCCGTCTCTGGGTTCTTCTGCAATTCTCTTTTTTGACAAGAAACTGGATCCACCAACGCCAGATGTGCACGTGGAATTGAATGTACATCATCTGCAATGCAAATACAATAGTCATGTATTACTTTTTATGCTCCTCCTTATCAATTATACAATTAAATCTACTCTTAAAAAACATGCATTTTCTGAAGTAAGTTCTTGATGGGCTGAATTTTATGAAGATAAAAGTTCTAACTTTTTTCACCACGACTTACTCCTTTGTTTTATTAATAAATAAAATACATAGTACACGTTTTGTATATATTCATTCAAAATTTAACAAATTAAACCAATTAAGCCACAGATTCGGCAAATTCAGGCAAATTTTCGTGGTATGAAATGGCTGGTATCGTCAAGAAAATTTTGGTCCCATGGGTTTGATTGAATCATTCCAGTTTGCGGTCCCCCTCTTTTGTTACTTTCCGCTTCTCTTGTCACTTCGATCCATCCGGCTACTTATCAATCCCAAATTTTTGTACGCTTTTTACTCCGTAGTTTATTTTCTCTGGTTAAGTGAACAGAAATGACAAAAAAATAATACGTACGTAGCAATATTGATGCAGCAGGGATCAAAATTGAGAATGGCCAAATAATTGCGGGATCAAAGGTAAAACATATCAGATTAAATTAAAAACATAAAATTTACCAAGGGAGTCCTCTCTGTAAATTTCTCGGCTTGGAGATCTTGGCGGTGTTTTAGGAATCTCATTTGAATGCAGCTTAGTAATGTCAAAATTCTGTCTGTTGCTGCTTTGTTCCAGAGGAGATGATAGAGAAGGCATTTCCCCAACTTCTGAAGACTTAGTTGCAACACGAAATACAGGAGTTGGCATCATGTGTGGGCCTGCATTTACCTCGCTTACCATTACTCTTTCCTGGTTCGCTCTGCTAAATGTAGTTGGAGATGGAACTTCAACAGCACAGGTAATTGGATGTACGGTGGAAATGGGATCTACATTATCTAAAACTGACTAGGGAGAAGTGTTAGATATGGGTTTGGGTATAGTGAATTTTGTGTTTTAGTGAAATCTGAAAATCATGAAGTGCCATGTTTTGCATAAAAAAGAGTGTATGCCTCCTGAGACATGACAAAATCTTCATCTACTCGGGTAACCTGCAAATGAATGAACTCAAGGGCTTCAAAAAACATATCTAAGAGATTAATTAGCAGTGAGAAAAAATCTCTTGGCACCACTAACACTCTAAAAGCACCTTTGAGAATGGCATATACCTTTGAGGCTTTGAGTCATCAAACTTCTACCATGCCTCTGGGGCAGCATGTATGAAGCAGTAATAGTGCCCAGATCCGATATGAACTAATATTGCATAAATACGGTAGAGGGTAGGTCGAAGGAAGAGAGTTCCGGAGCTTTCCGACATCATGGAGGGTTCATGGAGGGTTCTAAACAACAAAAATTCCTTTTGCGTACACCTTCTTATACACTACACCACACTGTATGTGAGAGTTTTTTTTGTCTGTGAGTGAATGCCAGTTCACAGACAAAACCTGACTTATTTTGTCTGTGGAAAATTCTACAGACAAAACAAGTTAGGTTTTGTCTGTGAACTGACATTCACAAACAAAAAAAAACTCTCACAGACAATGTGGTGTACTAATGTGTATAAAAAGGTGTACACCAAGAATTCCCCTCTAAACAATTACGCGTATGAGCTTTTTAATACTCCCTCAATCCCAGATTAAAGTGGCACGGTGATTAAGAAAGTGAGAATTGTGTGGTGGAGAGTTGTGCAGAGGAGAGAGAAATGTTGTGAACCACAAATTCTTTGCCAAAAAGGGAAAGTGAAGTTCTTTTTGGGACGAACGAAAAGGGAAAGTTGGAACTAAATTTAGGGACGGAGGGAGTAACTTTTAACTTTTAATAACGCTTAGCTTGTAGTGATTAAAAAGATTTTAAAAGGAAAATATTGTAGCTGTTTGATAACAAGCCGACTGTTTAATTTAATTCTGTTTGGTATAACAAGCTGTTGCGACTAATTAATGCTAAAAGCTATTGGTATCAATGAGGCTATATTTGTATCAATGCTTACAGTGATTGATAATTTTTGTGTCTGTCCATATGGTTGGTTAAACCGTGATACTTTTAGGGGGTGTTTGGATCTGATTCTCAAAACTGATTCTGCTCCTTTAGGGGGTGTTTAGGTGAAATTCCAGAAGCACTTCTGCAGCTCTAATTTACTCTCAGAATAAATTTTTTTAGAAGCTGGAAGGTACCAATTTCTGAAAACTGATTCTGATTCTGCTTCTGCTTTTAAAAAAGAAGCAGAACCAAAATCAGTTCCAAACACCCCTTAATATGCTGAAAGAAGATTAAGCCTTGATATTCTGGTGTAAATTGAGGATGTTTTTAATACTCCGTAATACTTGGATGAACCCCTTTGCAGGTTTCGATATGAGTCATATGACGAGTTCACAGAGTGTGCTAATGAAGAATGATTGATAGCTTTGTATATTATAATTATTTCTCAAAGGCAGCTGCATGTTGTAATGTTCTTAAATTCTTTTGATATTCTGGAGTTCTATTTTTCTAATTTTGGTGAACAACTAAAATTTAAGCTAAACTTGGTGTTCTAGCAGATTTATTAACTTTGACCTTTTAATTTAGGAAAACTGCCAAACGGGTTGTCTTAACTATATGAAACAACAATCAACCCATCATAATACAAAATCACTGAATCAAGAGTTAATTACCTAGGTAGGAAATAGGAATAAAACATAAGAATTGTGAACAAATAGGAGTCCAGCTTTCTGTGAGATATAGGAGTAAAAAAAGAGTAGTCTGATCTAAACACTCTAATAAATCCCAATTCCCAAATTGATTTGCTTATGATTAAATCAAACTAGTAATAGTATTTACCGGGGGCGACATATCGCGGACGGAAGGCCTCGTGCCTAGGGTTGGTGCGGCGATTTTAACGATCGTCCGCGTTTTCTTTATTTCGCACGGCAATAGCGCATCGGACGGCGGCTTTGGAGATCAAAGCTGGAGTTCGTGACCTGGGCGAACGATATGGAGCAGAACGGCACCAATGGAGTGGACGCACTGGCCAACGCCTATGGAATGTTGGATCTGGAGGAAGAGGATAAAATCCTTGTGGTCGCACCAATGGCTCAGCCCTCAGCGAAACACAATTTGACCATGGTGGGGACCATTACCTCGGAAAAGTCGGTACGTTTTTCCCAATTTCGAGATATTATGGTGTCCGAGTGGAAACCGGAAAATGGTGTTTCCATAACTGAAATTGGCCCTAGGCGGTATGTTTTTCAGTTTTATAATGAGGAAGATGTCACTAGGGTTGTGGAGGAAGGTCCGTGACTTTTTTATCAGAATTTAATTGTTATACGTAGGCTTAAAGAGGGTGATATTCCCATGTTTGTTCCACTCAATAAAGCAGATTTTTTGGTCCAAGTTCATGATATCCCAGTTGGATATTTCACTGCTGAGAATGCGGAACGCATTGGGAATTTTTTATGAATTTTTATAAAAGTTGATGATAATAACTTTTCTGAGAGTTGGGAATCCTTTATGAGAATTCGTGTTTGTATTGATCTGGGGAAACCTCTGAAAAGGAAATTGGTTTTGCAAAAAGAGGAAGGAGTCACTTTCCGTGTCAGGTTTTGCTATGAGAAGCTTTCTAGTTTCTGCTTCCTGTGCGGAATAATAGGGATGCGGAAAGCCATTGTCCACATAAGCAGTGGGGCCACGAAGTCACTGGGGAAAGACCGTTTGGTCCTTGGCTTAGAGCTACAAAAGGGGCAAAGCAATGGAAGGAGAATAAATGGCTTGTTCCAGCGAGGAAAGGAATCAGATCTGATAACAAGGCTACCAGTGGAAACAAAGAGGACGGCATGCGACCAAGTACTGGGGAGGGCGGGTTCTCACCACACGAGAGGGGATACATTGAGCAGAAGCGAAGACGTGTGGAGGATCCAGGAGTGCAACAGAACGGGGGAGATATGGAGATGGTTCAGAACGAAGGAAATAACGGGGAGAAGGCGAGCTACAAATCTGTAGCTCGCCAAGCACAGCAGTGAGAGACACCGATTCACAGCTTTTGAAATTAAATAAGGCCGAGGGCCATGAAAACTTTATTTATGTTTGTTGTTTTTCCTTTTATGGTACTCATGTTGCTTTTGTTTTTGTTTGGAACTCTAGTGGTAGGTTGAGGTTTACCTTTTATTTTTTGCTTTGGGGATCTATTGTTGGTGGAAGCGATAAGGCTTGTTTGGCCGTTAAAACCTTCGAAACTCTCATATGGTTCGTGAATGGTCTCGCTCCTTCGGGGGTGGTCCATTCTAAGTCTAGTCAGAGAGTGGGGGGGGGGGGGGGGGGCTTTGGGCTATGCGGAGCCTCAAGAGGAGGTTTGGCGTTGCAGGAGAGGTAGTACCTTTAGAGGTCTGAGTGAGGAGGTTGGGCATTGTAAGGGGGAAGTACGTTGAGGTCTTTGATTAATTTAATATAATCAGTTTCCTTTATAAAAAAAATCAAACTAGTAAAAGTAAATAGTACAGTAGACGGACAACGACACAACTCCATAGCACAATGACGACTTTCTTTGCAGCTGTTACTGTCGGCTGCCTCATCTGTTGTCGTTGTTGGTGGCTCCACCACTCGTTGCCGCCACTCCTTTCATCGCTGATGTCTTCCGTCACCGGTCACTGCTTCTTCTATCACTATCGTCGCCATCTCCAACACAACCGCCTCCACTGGTGCCGTTGCCAGTGACAGTGCGGCCGCCATTGGCGGCACTAGTGGCTTCATCTTCCACCTACCACGACAAATCTCCAATCTGACCTCCCGTTTGGTATGACTACCATACAAGTGTCATTTCGCAGTTGGAGTGTCATTTTGCACTTAGAATTTCATCTTAATTGATATAATTTCGATCCCTACGAAAATAAGATGACACTTTCAAATAAAACATATGTCACTAATGTTTTCCCAATGTAGTAGTATTGCCATTTTCTTAATGTTAGTACATAAAAATGACATTCATTCTCGAAGTGACATTTTGAGATTCAATGCAGTAACACTATAAAGGCATTTCCATAATGACATATCCCGAAATAAATTTTCCAATAGATGGTATTTAATGAGGAAAATAATTAAAATTATGGTATTGTCAAATTCAAAAATAATAAAAATTTTCCACCAAAATCAGTATATTGCATTTATATACATACACAACTTTTATTTCTGTAATGTTTACAATATTCATACACTTTTTTGTAATATATTTTTATATTCATACACTTTTTGTAATATTTTTTATATGCATACACTTTTTCTACAATTTTTTAATCTCTTTTATATGTTTTAAATGATTTTTATGCGTGAGTTACATCTAATTATGCATGAGTTACATCTAGTTATTTGTTATTTTTGTTACATCGAATTATCTTTAAGTAATAAATTTACAACAGAATTAACAGCTTTCTTTACCACAAAATTTATATCAACCCACACAAAATAAGTATATTGTATTTCATAATCATACACTACATTCAGAGGGATAAAACTCCAATTTTTCATTATTATCTACATTAAAATCAATGTTTTAATTCTTATATTCTATTTTAGATAACTTACATTTTAACTTGGCATAAATTACATTTCTTATCATTGTGAGTTACATTGTTGGAAACAAGAGTTACATCTGTAATAACGCAAGTTACATAAAAAAAATCAACCCCTACTATTGAAACAAAAAAATGATTTTTTAAAATCCTTTTGATGGTCATGATATTAAAAACAAAACATATTCACAATTTAAGTAAAGTAATTGTGCATTTAGACTTTTTTTTTATTATTTTCATTGAATCAATATTTTATTTCTTATTATCCGTATTTGACAAGTTACATTTCAATCTGTCTGTAGTTACATTTTTTATCAGCGTGAGTTACATTTCATTTCACACAAGTTACATTATTCTGCTTCTGGACAATAAAAAAAATTATTGTTCATGCGTGTGAACAATAACATGCAAAATTTTCAGGTGGGAGCAACATGCTCATGGTATGCCGATTACACCGTATACGAACTGGTCCCAAACGGCCTTATATAGTTATACGCAGTCTTGCACGGATGCTTCATCCCGATGCCGTATCCGCATATCCGATACGTATCCGATACCGACACCTCGATGCGTATCCTTTCTAAATTGCCGTATCGCCGTACCCGTATTCACGTATCGACGTATTTGCGTATCCGTGTCCGTGCAACATCGGTTATACGTATGAGTTATTCCTTATATCAATTATTACTCAATTTTGGGCTAAAATTAAAAAACTGCCATGATTACATACCGTACAAAAAACAGGCAAAATGGCTACTGCTTGGCACATCAATCCATGATTACTTGATCTTTTTAGATTTCAAACGCTGCAACGGCTGCTAGCCTGCTACGCACATGAATCCACAGTTCTTTTTATGGAGAAGGGTACCAGCACTATTTTGAAGGCCACATAGCTGCTGGGTTTTTTATTTGCATTCTTATATCCATTGTATCACGTTAGCGGTTCCTACAGAGGTGGCGAAGATCTTCGTTCTGAAGTAAACTTCACTTTAATTACGACATCAGGTTGGTTGGTGTGTTGTTTCTGTTCTTACGAATATTTTTTTCAGTTGATTTTCACATATGATTATGAAATATTTGTGTTCTTGGGACAATGATTAGTATTTTCTGTAGGTAATTCTTACTGCTGCTACTGTTTATAGATGCCCTGAATGCATTTTGATTACTGTATACCGTCAAAGCCCACTTGATGGGATGAAATTATAAAAATATGCTGTAGATTTTCCCAGTTTCTTCACTGAGCTCTAAGCTTATTGAATTCGAGTTCTGTTTTTTCCAGAAAGTAATAATCATCATATAAGAAATATTTTCAAGTTTCCAACTTTGCTTCTTTTTTTGCAAGTGTCTTTGAAAACTTCTGTCAATTCAGTTGTTTAACCTTTTTATTAGGCTTATACACTTAAGAATTTAAAGCTGAATTTTATGTGCAGTGCGGGGGATAAACATCATGTTGCGTGTTTTAACAGCTTGATGTGAATTCCAGTGTGGTAATGAACTAGTGACATATGCATAGTTATTCATGTTAAACTTAATGGTGCAGGTACTGGAGATTAGTACTTTTATTTATGTTTGAAGTGAAGTAAGAAGTGCAATTCCATTGTTTCAGAGAATGCCTCTGAAAAAGAAATTCCCCGGTACTCCGGTGACAAGGAATTATCATCAAGATTTCATCAGCAACCTCCCCCAGAGTCTAAGGGTAACCATCTTAAATTACCTGCCACTTCGCGATGCTGTAAAGACGAGTGTGCTCTCAAGTGAGTGGAGGTACATGTGGACTAAAGTTCCACATCTTTGTTTTGATGAGTTAATCTTGGAATTCCCAAGTGGGGGTGACCAATTGGAGTTTCAAAATAAATGTGTTAGGCAGATACTCCGTGTTTTGCTGCAACATGAAGGGCCTATAACCACGTTTGTGCTTGCAATTCCTGAGCTTGAATTCTTCCCTGAGATGGAGAGCTTGATGTTTTTCTTGGCCAAGAGTGATGTTGAGGATCTCACACTTGAATTTGAACCTGGCCATAACAAACTTCCTTCAACATTTTTCAAGTGTCAGAGACTAAAAGCTATATCCCTTCTTTCCTGTCTGGTTCATCCACCTTCTGACTTCATTGGATTTAGTCAGCTTCTCACCATCCTCATGCTCGATGTAGCCATTGGTTCAGAACAACTTCAAAGCTTTGTTGCTTGTTGCCCACTACTTAAATCCTTGCACCTAAGAATCTCTTCGGTATATGAAGCACTGGAAATTCAGGCTTCTAAACTTGAGAACTTTGAATTTCATAGTAAACTGAAATCTGTTTCTTTCAAGAACACCCCACTTCTCAAGGAGGTTGTAATTATTAACCATTCAGATATTGAAGTAGAGGAAAAAAATGCTCTACATGGGAAATCTAATCTTATTGAGTTTTTCAGATCTATTCCATCGCTTAGTGTTCTACATATTGACACTCACTTCATTCAGGTATGAGACTTTTGACATTTAATTTTGCAAGAAGTACTAAAATAATGGTTTGGTAAGTTTGCACTTATAGGTCTGATGATTGATTGTTTTTTAACTTGGGTTTGTGTTGTGCCATTAGAATTAGAGATGTATGAACAAATGGTGTCAAGTGTTGCTGATATAACTTTCCCCCCATTTTGATCATATGTGGCACAATTGGATGCAGTAATTACTATTATTGGTCATACTTGATTGACTACCATTGCCACTGTTACAACCACAAAAACTTGCCAGCCACCACTGCCACCGAGTAAATAAACTATTTAGATAACTTTTAAAATAATTAGTGGCTAGCAATGTTGGTTAGTGTTGGTAATTAACTGTTATAGTGAAGAGTTTTGTTTACACACTTCATATATTTGCCCAACGTTAAACTTTATATCATGGATGTATAAATACTAGTCACCAATGACGACAAAGAAGTTAATACATTTTCATATAGGGCTGATTTATCAATACATTGGAATGCAAAATAGTAATTAAAAAAACCGGTCATCTGTCATTGGCAGCCGAGAACTGCGGTTCCTGTGATTGCTACTATGGAAATGATTGCACATCAGTGAAAATGTTCACTATACTTCGTGCCACATTAGATTCAAATAGCAAGAGTCATACCAGCAAAAAACATTTAACATTTGGCCTACATCCTCCATGCTCATGGCGCAAAAACACAAACTCTATTCTCCACCGGAACATTTCACATGCTATTAAGTAGAAACGTGCCCTACCACAATTTAGCTTTTTTGTACTCTTTATTTTATGATAAACCCGCATGACAATGAGTTTTGGAGACTAATGAAGAACCATGCTTTGTGTGCAACAATTGAAGTTTTTAGCAGCAAATGGAGTCCTAAAAAGGCCTAGTCTAACTGCAGTGCACCTTAACACTCTTATACTTGAGGGAATATGTTTAGAGAAAACGGAGGAGATGACATGTGTACTTTTGATGGTTAGAATCTCACCAAACTTGCAATGTATCATGATTCGAGTGAGTTGTCTTTTATATGTTTTCCTTTATTAATTTATGTTATTGAATTCATTTAAATATTTATATTTTATTTTTGGCTCATTATAAATGTTATTGTTGTTTTTTCTATCTTTTAGCTATGTAATTGCACTGGGGTTGCTGGCCAAAATCCTTCTCTCGACTCACTTGATGTTGAAGAATTCTCAGATGTGAAACTAGATCAGTTGAAGAGGGTGGAGTTGAAATATTTTACTGGTACAAGGAACCAAATGGCACTTGCAAAACTTCTTTTAATCAAATCTCCAAGGCTTAGGAAAATGATAATTAAACCCCATGCCAAAAGTTGCGATGAAAAACAAGGGTTTCGGATATTGAAAAAGCTTATACGGCTGCATCGATCATCAGCAGCTGCAAAGATTATCTATGGATAGGTTAGACAATAGCATCATGTGATCTCATTTTATTTTTGTGATCTCTTAGGAAAATGTATTTTTGTGTGATAACATAGACAATATCTATGTGATCTCTTAGGAAAATGTATTTTTGTGTGCCTTGTTATTTGCATGAATATTAAGTGCAGGCACTTTTCTATCATTTTAGAAGCACAACCACATAACTACATAAGATGGTAATTTAAAATTGTCAAAATAAAATTTTCCACTTTCGTACACACTCGATTATGCGAACTTAGTTTCGGTCATTGGCTTTGAAGTTTCAACTTATCCACTTTTGGAGCGTGATTATGGACTTCAAATATTTGATTTCCACCCAAGTGACCAGAAAATATAAAAATCTTCCATAATCATGGCTAGGGTTGTCAAAGAAGCGAAGCGAATATTTGACATTTGACAATATTATTCGTATTTGACTATTTCTATAATTATTGAATATTCGTATTCCTATTCGTTTAATATTCGAATCTTATTTTATATTTGTATTTGATTCATTTGGTATATTCGTATATATTTGAATCTTATTTGACTATTTGAACTCGAAAAACATTAAAGTTAAATAATGAAAATAATTAAAATTATAATGTACTCCGTATATAGTTTGCTTTTTTTACCTCATTTTCATAGTACATATTTCATACCAAATAAAATATATATACAAGTTGCTTCAAATTTAACATCAATTTTTATTAGGCTGAAAGAAGATTGAGCATTTGAGCCTTGTGATTCTCGTGTAAATTGATGAAGTTTCTAATGATATTTGGATGAACCCCGTTGCAGGTGTTGATATGACGAATTCTGAGTTCAGAGAATGTGCTAATGAAGAGTGATTGATAACTTTGTATCTTATAGGTAGTAGTTATTTCTCAGAGAGCTGCATGTTGTAATGTCCTTAAACCTTCTTTTGATATTCTCGAGTTGTATTTTGCTTTTTTTTTTTGCAAGTATGTATTTTGCTTATTAAGGTGAACAGTTCAAATTTAAGTTAAACTTAGAGCCCGTTTGGTAGCACGGAAGTCGGTGTTTTGGCTAATTATGCTGAAATTTTTGAAGTTTTGGCTGAAGTGGCTGCATTGACTGATTCTGTTGTATTAGAAACAATTATTTTTAAAAAATATTTTATTAATAAATGAAAGAAAAAATTATATGTAAAAATTACTAAAATAGTCAGCTACAATAACTTCAGCCAAAACAACCAGAAAAGTAACTCCAACCTTATTTTTTCTGTTTATTACACAACTCAGCGTGCGAAAGTTAAAGTTACGTATTTACGTGTTTGGTGAAAAAGTCGGTTGATAAGTCTGATAAGTCGAAATGGCTTTTAATTTAGGAAAAATGCGAAATGGGCTTTCATACTATTAACCGATCTGTTTCAAAAAAATACTATTAACCGATCACACTATAAAATCATTCAATCGATCCCACTAAATGGTACACTCAAGCTACACTAATTAGTAGTCAACAACTAATTTTGTAGTTACTTTCTTATGTTGCGGTCCAGCTAGCTTTCTTTCTTTTCAGGGGCAATCGCAATTTTAGTCCCTGAAATGTTAGGCTCATGGGTTATTTCAAATGTCCTAAATGGGCGAGAGTACATTTTGGACAATTGAGGGGGTGGCATTTACAATATCAGAAATAAGGGTCTGACATTTCATTTTCGTGACTATTTCAGGTTGTGTTGTCAAAATCAAACCGGGAGGTGACCCGGGCAAGGGACCGGGTCAAGGGTCAGCCCGGTCAATGGCGGGTCAACTCGGTCAACCTTTACAAAAAAATACTATCCTCCGTTATTTTAATCGCAACATGTTGAATTTTACATTATTCACATGTTCTACTTTGATTACATTTTACGCTATTATTTTATGAGAATTATTTTTAAAAAATATTGTTCTATTCATCTCATTACAAATTTTAAAAATCTGTTTTTTTATTGTGCTAATAGAGATTAAGATATAATTATGGTCAAAGATGTGCAATGACAAGTGTGAAATGTTGACCGTTGCAACTAAAAAAGAACAGAGGAAGTACGTAGTATGAATATATATATATATATATATATATATATATAGACGGCAGTTCATATCAGGCCGGCCTGACGGGAACCGCCGTCAGGCCGAGGCCATTTGGAGGCCTTCCCGGTGGAATTTTTTGATGAAATTTTTTGAGCATGTTCATCATCAAGTCTAGTTTATCCATACCAAATTTTAGCTAAAAACTCTATCGGGAAGGCAGTCAAAAAAATTCCCTACCAAAACTGGGCAGTTTATATATATAAACTGCCCATTATATAAAATATACTCTGCATTTTTATATGTATATTTTGGCGCAGTCAACTTCAAAAAATGATTTGAATGTCTTCCCGGTCGAATTTTGAGCTGAAATTTGGTATGAACAAACTAGACTTGATGAAGAACATGCTCAAAAAATTTCATCAAAAAATTCCACCGGGAACCGCCCCAAACGGCAGAGTTCGGACGGCGCCTCCCGTCCCTCCGGCTGGACCAGATCACTTCTCTCTCTCTATATATATATACATGTATATATAGGAGTATTCAGGTTAGGCCAGGCCGGACCACTCCCCTGTCCGGCCACCTCAATTTGAGGTGGTTCCCGATGGTATTTTTGACTCAAATTTTTTGTGTATGTTCCTCATCAAGTCTAGTTCATCCATACCAAATTTCAGCAAAAACTTCAACTGAGAAGGTTGTCAAATGATTTTTGCAAGTTAACTGGTCCGGAAGTTAAAACTTAGTAGTCTCTTTGCAGACCTTAGATGTACCTTACCATAGTTAAAACATATGCTTCGAGTTAGGCAGAGTATTTTTTTTCATATGTATGTATGACATGTGTTTCTAGTAGTTAGTTATCTATTATATTTGAAAGTAGTCGAAATAGTGGTCATCCCACATTCCCACTATCCGCTATACCACTAAAAGCGTTTTTGGGATTGACAACATTGATAATAACATATACGATGCAACCAAATGGAACAAAAAACAACGTATAAAAGCATTATATTTTTTTAAAACAGATGCCCACACACCAAGTGGCACATAGTAGATGGTGTTTTACCATACAATCTTGCAATGCTTTTACCATTCTGTGAAATAGTACAACAATTGAATTACCGAGTGACCCTTTTATTCTGAAAGCATCCACTTCAACTTGCTTTCAAATGGGCAAAAACCAGATATCCATACAGGAAAAATTTTACAATCAATGGAGATTTAACATCCTTTTCAACTTCTTTTCCCTTTTGAGCAGCTGCTCTTAGTTGACGTGCTCTTCCTTGTATACCCTATTCCTACGTAGAAACTCTTTGGAGTGATGGAGACACTCGAGATAGTCTTCTAGGAGAAGAACGCAGTCCTTAGGCTCCAGGTAAGTCGACAGACATTCACTGAAATCCATTTATCATAGCAGCGGCCTTTGTTTCCCGAGATTCCCCAACCAGACGCCATTCTCGTCTTTGTGGAAGATATTTGATTCCAGCAGTGATGGCGTCCAAGTATAAAAGCATTAGAATAAATACGCACAAATAGCATGAATCAAATAGAAGAGAAGAGAAGCAATGAAAGCAGTGAAAAGTAGAGCCAGCTTTTCATTGCATAATTGATAATAACGTCATTCAAACTTTCAGTTTGAGTCTGCAAAAAGAAATAAGAGGATGTAAAGATCCTCACATGATATACAACAATAAGCTAAGTCATAAACTTTATATTCCCATAATATGTACCGAATAGCCAACCACTTATGTCCTCCACATCTTTATGACTGATTCCCAGGCCAAGAAGGAGCTATCCAATTGCAACCAGTGACTTTCAATATTATCTAAAGCAAGCAAAGCTAGACAAGAAAATCAACACAGACCTATAGCTTCATCAATCATTAGGTAAAAGGAATTAATGAACACAAAGGCTAAACTTCAGCAGATGGATGTAGAACAAAAATTATTTATCTTAGAAATTATTTAGTAATCTGATTACCAAGATTAGAGTAACTTTTTCCCTAGATAATAAGCAAGTTGTGCAATAGACTTGTGATTTAGTACTCTACAAATTGTCGATAACAACATATATGATTGACTTTGTAGGATGATGGATAGGGAGGATATAAGATGAATTTCATCACCTCCAGCAAAGCTATCTGAGGCACATCTCTGGAAGTAAAGCAATTGGCCGGCATCTCAACTTCCAGTCATCTCTCACACCTGGAAAAGTATTATATAGAATGAAAGCCAAAGCACAAAGGAAACTGCAGTGCAGAAGAATGCATCAGCTGAGAACGCTACAGTGGAGAAAACCCCTCCAAGGCCGGGAGGAAGCTCCCGACAGAACCTGGTGCTTCAGACAAGGATGAGGAGGCAATATGAAGACAGCCCAAGCAGCGGTGACCATGCTTCCAGGTAGCACGCCGTGACTGAAGGAACTCGACGGTCACCAAAGTTAGCTCCTAACCATAAACCTGATCCTTCGTCTTTTCAATCCTCACGAATTTAGACGAGACAGAGCGTATATTTTGAAGTAGAACAAAATTGAGAAGACAAGCAAAGTGAAATCTCCCCTTCTCATCTTGCAACGCACATCCAAGTCCAACAGATTTGGCTACACTACTCCACTCCGATTTGAAATCTGCGAAATTTGGATTTGGCTGGGGAGACGATTCACGATGAATTATTCAGGTGTCTCACTGTGGTAGTGATGGTCGATCGATGAAATCACTCTGGCAAGTGTTGAGATGTGAGATCCAGACCAAACATCAGGCACTATTTTCCAGGACTTTCTGGCAGTCAGACTGTGAAATTCAATGGAATTGGGGATCAGGTTCAAGTAATAAGTGAGAGCAGGATGCACATGATCGTCCGTGATATCTCCGACAGTAGTGGACGCAGAGACGACAAGATCCCGATATGTTCGGAGAAGATAGTGTCCAACATAAACTTATGACAGTTCAAGCCTATAACACTTTGACTATGATAGTATCATTTCACATCCTTTAGTTGCCAAGATATCCACCACCTAAATAGCCTGTACATGTGGAAAAATATTAATTTCTTCATAATTTCATCAGCATTTTCAAAGGTTCACCCATAAAATTCTTTAATTTACATCAACTTCGGCACCAAAATGTATTGTGAAAAGCTAAGTAAAAACAACAAGCCTGAAAAATCACACATTTCTGAAGTCTTTGTGCAATTACTATCACCAATAGTCACCACAGGAGCAATCACCATTCTCAAACTTGTGGAATCTATTAGCATCTCTTACCAGAAAAACTTTTTTCTTTAGAATCTTGGACAATCCCTTGATGAACTCATGGCAATCCCCACAAACCCTAAGGTTCTTGAACACACGAACCGGTTCTGCCTCATTAATCCCACTCTCATTATCATGAATCAATGCCAGCCCGATTGCTAGTTTCTCACTGTGAAACATCAAGCTTTCCTCCCTTGATTCATCTTCCACATCGTGCAACGATAAGCTCACCGTGTGTGCATACCCCAGCTCTGCCTTCATTCTTCTCTCCATCTCTTTCAGAATCTTGTGGATTGATTCGGTCAGGGGATGTCTCTCGTCTCTGTTGTAGAAAAAGTGCATCTTTTTCTTGATCTCTACCCAGCTCTGTCCTGCTTCCTTCTTTAGCCCTTTCGCTTTTGCCTGAAACCTGAGGTTTTCACTCTGTTTCCAGTTGTTGATATCTGCATATAGGTTAGATAGCATGACATAGTTTGATGGGTTATCACCCTCCAATCTTAATAAAATATCACCTACTTCTGCTCCTAAATCCACATTCTTGTGTGTTCTACATGCACTTAGGAGTGTCTTCCAAATCTCTGGATTTGATTTTAGTGATACATTATTCTCAATATGATTCTTGGCTTCAATTAACCGCCCAGCCCGACCCAGAGCATCAACCATGCAGCTATAGTGCTCCAGCTGAGGTTTTACCTTGGGTTCCTTGCACAATCTCGAAAAGTATCTTTGGCTTTCTTCAATTAGTCCTGAATGACTGCATGCAGTGAGTAAAGCAAGG